AAATGATGCACATGAATTTTTGTTAATCTTTCTTGAAATCTTAGAAAAAGAATTAAATACAAAAGATATAAATGATTTCTCTTCTTCTATTTCACCACAACTTCTCTCTCCAATTCCATGTAGAGGTACAATAAAAACATATTCTCGTGAAAGTTCTCCTTCAAAAGAATATTATTCTCCATTTGAAGTTGAAATGAATGAGATTGGATCTGATGATTCATCTTCAGACTATTACTTTTCAAAAAATCTTATTAGTGATGTTTTTAGAGGAAGAATTAAAAGAGTAACTGAATGTTCAATCTGTCATTCTAGTTCAGAGACTTTTGAGGAATTTATTTCATTATCAGTTCCAGTACCTCAATGGTATTCAAATGAAACACACCCAATCTCATTAGAGAGTTGTATTGAATTATTTCTTCACTATGAAAATGTAGAGGATTGGTATTGTGAAGAATGTAATCAAAAGAGAAAAGCTAAAATATATTCAACTATCAATGACATTCCTAAAGTTTTAATTATTCAATTGGTTAGAATATATTCAAAGAAATACCCAACTCAACAAGTCTTGTTTCCTTTAAATGACTTAGTGGTCCAAACATCACCTAACCATTTTGATTTTTATGATTTATATTCTTTTATCGTTTGTTTATTTTTAATTCTCTGTTTAGAAACTGGTTTATCGAAATAGACTCATACAGGATCACTATCAAAAGGCCATTATATATCATGGAATAGAGTATTAGATCAATGGTACTGTTGCAACGATGAAAATGTTTCTCAGTCTAAACCTAATACATCATCTGATACTGTGTACATTCTCTTTTATAAAAGGAAGGTAAATTGAACTGATTTTTTAAAAGACTTTATTTTAATTTATTGTTTTATTAAACTATACAAATATAGTTATAAAAAATAATCTAATTAATTGTATTACTTATTTATTCATGTTTTTATTGTTTTAAGATGTATTGTCTTATGGTTATTATTTTATTTATCATTCTCAATAGTACAAGAACATTATATTATGTTTAGTTGTGAGTTTATATCATCAAATATCAATTATATAATTAACACATATTATCGTTCATTTGTATTGTTATTATGTTACCATTATTTTCTATTTCTTTTATTTTTATTGATAATTTATGATTAAATCGCTCATTAATTATCATAAATTGAATGATTTCTATTTATCTCATATTTATATTTCTTAGTTTGTAATACATTGTATTTATTTAATTATCTACTGTTATATTTTCACTATGTATATAGTTATATTATTGTTGTATTTTATTTAACATTATTCATTATATAACACAAGATGAAAGAAGCTTACAACGAATATTTAGAACATGTAGAATTTTCTTTGTAAAGTATTTTTAAATTATTCTATATTTATTTTTTCTGTAATTTTTTGATTTGAATTTCTTAAAATAAAAATACTATTCTATTTATAGGTTTTCTGTTAAAATAAAATAGATAAAAATAAATGAATTTCTTTTTATATTGTTATTGTTTCTTCTTGATTCTTTTATTTGTATTCTTCAAAGTCTTTCTTTGTTTTGTCTTTTCTAGTTATTTATTTCAAACTTACTCTAAAATTAATGCCATTGAAGGTGTAATGAATGTTATAGTTATTTCTCCTTTTTGTTTGTTTTTGTTTGTATTTTTGTTGTTAATAATTTCTTTTATTTTATGTAAATAAAATTCATGTTAGAAGAAGAACCCTCTAATGTGAGCATGTTGGAAATAAACTCTATGATAGAAGTAGAGCGTATTGAAGAAACTGAAGTAATCAATTCTCAAAATGATGAAAATCCAATTGTGGATATATCTATTAACTGACTCTTTTTAGTGAAAATAAAATTCTTGTTAATCATTGACATTAGTGTCAGTTCAGTGCTTTTCACTTGTTTATCTTTATTTGATTATTTGTAAATATTCATTTAATGATAATGTTGATTGTTCATTTAATCAGTAATTTATGACTATTTCGATACAGTTAATAACATCATTTGAATGTTGTGTTTTATTTCAATTTAATACACTTAATATCTATTATTCAATTAAACTTATTTATATTTATTTGATTAAATTCTGATACCATTTGAATGATTATGGTAAATAATTGAAATGTAGAATTGAACAAGAATGGGTTAGTCATGTATTTATTGTAGTGATATGAAAATGATTAGTTGTCACATATATTATATTCATTTTATTCATACTATGAATTCATTATTAACTTGTTTTCAATACAATCTATTCTATTTATCATCTAGAGTTGATTTCTAACACAATAATAATCAAAAAGGTGGTAAATGATAGAATAATAAAAATGAATAAAAAAAAGAATTTCATAAAATGAAAGAAAATAAAAAAAAAATAAGAAGAAGAAAAGAAAATCAAAATAGTAAAATTATAGTAAAAAGAATTAAAAGAATAATTAATAAAAATAAATTAAATTGATAATCAATTCATATTATTTCTTCATTATTAACTTTATATATTGAATAATAAAACAATAAGTGTTCAATTATTTTCAAATACCTCATCAAACTTCTGAGTTCTAATGTCCATTTCTTGTTGAATATCAAGTACTTCTTGAATGAGATGGGGATATCTTAAATTATATTCAATCCATGCTACTCACTTCTTTGGGCATATCTTCTTAATTCATATTTATCAAAACGTCCTTGTTTCTTTGATTGGACTAGCACATGAAATTTATATATTTTTGTGTATCTGGCAATGTCCTAGATTTGTTTATTTGTTAACTTATCTATTCCTCTTTCATTAATCATGAATTTTTTAATCTATGTATTGTCAGAGGTAAGCATTTCCTTATTTCTTTCAAGATAAAGAGATACGGTATGTGCTTCATTGTTTATGCTCTTAAATAAGTGACTAACCTTAGAATGAAGACAAATCACTTGTTTATCTAAAAAATATCATCATTAATTGTCTTAAAATATTCATATATCCTTTCACCTTTAATTATTTTCAGACTCTCTACGTTTTTAATTGGAGATGACAATGATTTATTATGTGGTATATTCATTGAGATGTATTTTATCATTTCATTCTTTATTTTATTCTTTATTTTGTTATTCAAAACAAAAAATAAACTATTTTTATAAATAGAAAGAATCAAAAACAAGATGAATCTAGAGTATCATATCTTATCAAAATTACGATATGATACCAAATAGAAATAGTAAAAGTTGTACAAATTAAAGAGTTTACTATATATAAACAACAAATATAGTGTGAGATGTATAGACTATGAAAAAAGAAATGTGCAAAAAAATGAATCACTTTTAATAGCATATATTAATTTCACTATCAAATAATCTAAATAATAAAATAAAGATATTTAGAATTAGAAGTAGATAAAATAAAAAGAAGATAAAATTAAAATGAACAATAAAGAACATAGATATGAACATAAGACAATACAAAAGAAAAATAAGAAAAAATAAAAAATATTTACTATAATATAGAATTTGTTATTTTTAATAAAATGAAAATCTTAAAAAAAAGAAAAACAAAAAATAAAATAACAAAAAATTAAAATCATTTTTTGTTATAAGAAGAAAATGGAATTGTTGTGAGCTTCTTTCTTCTATCTATCAATCTGAGAGAAGTTAAAGAAAGGTAAATTAAAACCAGACAGTTAAATGTTAATAGAAATATTTTCTATTGTTCCTTGATCAGGGAAATTAATCCTGTTCCTTTGCTTTAACATTATATGTTCAACATTTATTAGTTTATTCTTAGCTTTTAGTTGTTGAGTTGTGAGAATTTCATTTCTCTTTTATTTAATGTACAATAAAGTATTTCAGATATCTCTGATTTAAATATTCAACTCTTCAATTTCTTTTCTAATTTTAATGGGTATTTTAAATTCATCTTCTTTAATTTTATTTTTAAGAAGAATATATCATTACTAGTGTGTTATTATCATCAATTTTCATTTTAGCATTAATCATATTAATCAGACACTTTTTCATTGATAATCCTATTATCAAATATACATGTATTCTAATAAGTAATTAATAATATTCTCATCTTTGTAAATAACTACACCTTTAATATAAATAATATATAATCATCATAAATAATAATCACTGATGTTCTTACAATATTGATTAAGATGTTTTTCAACCAAATGGTAACATCATAACTAGACAATTGATGATTCAAAGCATGGAAATATATTAGGGTTATGTGTAGTGTCTATAATGTACCATATTCAAATCATATAAAATAAATAAAATAAGAGAATATAAAGAAGAATATAATAATAAAATAAGATATAATCATTCTTATTCTTTGTTATTATTATTTTATATTGGATGATATTTTATTATTTTATATTTGTTTATATTGTTTGTTTATATTTTATTATTATTTATTGTTGTTTATCTTATATCATTTATTTATTATATGTTGTATTGTTATTTAACAATGTTAATATGAAATGAATAATAATGAATAAATATAAAATAAGAATAAAAAGATATAAGAATATAACATAAATAATAAAATAAGAAATATATAATAAATATAAAGATAAAAGAATAAGAATAAAATAAATAAATATAAAATAATATAAATAAAATAAAAAATAAATAAAAAAGAATAAAATAAATATTTTATTATATTTTTATTTATCTTTTATTCTTATTTCTTTTATTATTTATTAAATTAACACAATGAATATGATTCTTTCAAATTAAATAAAACAAAAATGAAATATGAACATTTTTATATTCATCATTTCATTTATTGATAGATGGAATGTTCATATTCATTTATTGATTTTATTTTATATTCTTTTTTATTTTTATATTTCAAATAAATAATAATGAATAAAATCATTTCATTTCAATTACAATAATTCGTTTTGATGTGAAATTATCTGGATATTGTTTTCCACAAAGTGCATTTGATATTCCTTTATATTCAAATGAATATTGTTTACAATATGATATTATTTTATAACTTTCTTTATAAACAAGTAAATCATATATACATTCAAATGCAAACAGCCAATCACTTGATTGATTATTTAACCAAAATGCATGTTGTGGTTCTTTAATATCAAATTTATTCATTCCTTTTATTCTTCCTTTTGATTTTAATGAAAATAAAAATGAATTTGGATCTTTTATAAAATCATTAACTTTATCAATTTTCACATTAACATATCCTCCAAATTTATTTCCATCTTTATCTTCAATAATAATTATTATATGTTCTTTATTCTTTGATCAAATACTGATGTATTCTGATTCCAATTATCAATATCTGAATCAAATAATATATCAATTATTCTTTTTTCTGTCCATTCTTCTAGTTGTTTAATTATTTCTTTTGTTTTATTATTTGGTGTTGATGATGTTATTCCCATTATTATTTATTATTAAGTTTTTATTTTATTTTTAATAACATTATTTATTTTGTTGTTATATATTACATTTATTATTTTTGTTATTTTATTCTTTTATTTCTTTATTCTTCTCATGTAGAATAAGAGACTTGCTCTATAATAGTCAATATATGAAATTAAAAATAATATTACATATTAAAAAGTATGATATATATCATATTAAAGTAAAAACAAATGAGCAAATAAATTATTACAAATACCTCCAAAGAATGAAAAGAATAGAAATAGAAGTAAGAAAGAATAATTGGAAAAGAATTAGATGGAATTATAAAATGTTAAAATAATGAAAGAGAAAACATCTAAATAAGCATAAAGAAGATGAGTATCCAGATAATATTACTACAATTAATTTCTTGAAATAAATCTATGAAAACAACACTAATTTAGAT